GTTTGGAGCGAGCTCTCCACCTGGGCCACTCAAAGCACTGTTCAGATTTTCAAACCCGTCGTCCCGACGGTGTATATAAATTAATTTGAAGCATTTAACACAGGGATCCCTCGGACGAAGTCAAATTTTAATTTTTCAAAGGGTAATTTTATACAGGCACAATATTAAAAATTACATTTCAACATTAAGAATAATATTCAAGGACTCTATTCGAGCAACGTGAAAGAAATATGAGAACAAATGTTACGTTTCACTATCTATGAGGCTGGGGCAGCACTATAAAAATCAAAAAGTCAAAACCTACTGTATTCGGTAAACGATTGTAATTGTTCAAATTAAAAACTGCCCCCATCAACAGTTTACATTTTTTTTAAAAGAATTTCTAAAGAAATAACAATATGTACAGGGGCTGTTGTGTTTGACATAATGTGTCACTTTAATGCAAAAGAAACTCAGGTTTAGCAGCTAATATATATATATATATATATATATATATATATATAATAAATATATCTATAACATATATAGATATATTTACTTATATATATTTATATAAATTAGTCCGACACAATTGATTTAAATAAGAAAGTATATACATTTCAATTAAACAACCCTAATGAAATAACTACTGAAACCCAACACAAGATTACGAACAACTCAAGAAACTTAAATAAAATGATAACGATAACCCAAAACTCCTTAAATATTCTTATTAGATGATCTTACTACAAGATAATTAATTTTCAATGGAAAAAAACCATTAAAAAAAACAACTCCAGAAATGCATAGTGTACCCTAAACCTTCATTGAGAAACACTCCATCAAGTTAAATATAATTCAAACTAACATACTATAAGTCAATTTATTTATCAAAGTCATCCATATTAAGAGAGAAATGAAAAAAAAAATTACAACATTGAAATAAAAAAACGCAACATTACAAAAATTACACAGAGAATACTCATTCCAAGTTGTTCATCCCTTGCAACCATAAATAAAATAGGCCACTATACATATAGGAGATAATAGCTAGCTGGAAAAGATGGTAGACAACATGACCCTAACATATGTTTGTGAAATAGATATGTTTTTAAATAGGTTTTGAAAGCCTCCATTGTCTGACTGTTTCTCAGAGCGACAGGAATTGTGTTCCATATTGTTTAGCCAGAAAAAGCGAACGTGCGACTTCCGTAAGTCTCAAGGCGAAAACGTTGTATCGAGAGTTTGCCACTATCAAATGAGCGGAAGTGTCTGATGGGTAAATAAGGTGTCTTTGAGCACTTTGAGATAGGACGGCGCCTTCTCATGTAAGCAGCGGTAGCACAGAGTTGCTATTTTGTACACTATGTGACGGCGGAACGACAGCCAATGCAACTCTATCAGAAGTGTTTTAGCATGGTCACATTTGCGTATGCGAAAAACAATGTGATCCACATTTTTCTGTTTTTTTTTTATTTTATTTTATCCAGTGGAGTGGGTGAAAGCCCCACCATGAGAGCATCATAGTAGAGTCCATGCTTGATAGCACGAATGCAGACATCAGACTTTTTGTTGCATTATACGTTAAGAAAGGTATGATATGAGTAATTCTGCGAACCTCAAGAAAACAATGTTTGCAAAGCATGTTAATCTGCTTTTCCATAGAATTTTTTCTGTCTAATTAGACACCAAGATCGCACTGTTTGAGCAAATTCAATCTCTATACATGAGAGAAAAGCGTTGTGTGTTAGTTAAAGTTTTTTGACCGTAGCAATGAGGATCAGCTCGGTCTTTTCATCGTTTGATTTAAAGTTCTTAATGTTAATCCAGTGCTTCACTGACCCCACTGTCTTCTGTGTCATACATGCATACATACATACATACATACATACGTACATACATACATACATACATATGTACGTACATACATACATACATACATAGATACATACATTCATACATACATACATAAATACATATATAATTACGTATGTACGTACATACTTACGTACATACATACATACAAACATATATACATACATACATACACACATACATACATACATACACACATACACATACAAACACACATACATACATACACACACATACTCACATACACACACACATACATACACACACATACATACATTACATACATACATACAAACATACATACATGCATACATACATACATGCATACATACATACATACATGCATACATACATACATACATACATGCATACATGCATACATATTTTTTGTAATTATTGTATATCTATATTTATTTTTGTAGTTTGTATACTTTTGTATTTATTGTATTTGTATTTGTATTTGGTTTTTTTGGGTAAACTTTTGTTTTGTAGTTGTATTTTGTATGTGTTTTATTTGTATTTTGTTATTGTTCAATTTTTATTTGTCGTATTTGTATGTTTGTATGTGTTGTATATATTTTTTTTTTTTATTTACGCTTATTTATATATTTTTTAAAAATTATTTGTATTTAAATTTTTGTATTTGTTGTATTTGTATTTTTTTTTTTTTTTTGTTTTGGTAGTTTTTCGGAAAGGGTTAATTTAAGGGTCAGCCCATCTAGGAAAGGTTAGGTAAAACATTCAACATGATGGCATTGTAAGGCGTCATTAGCAGAAAGACTTTATATAAAATCAGACATAAATACATATATATACAAAGAGGAAGAGGTTAAGATAGTAAGAGAAAGTAAGGGAAAAGGCGACAGACAGAGATAGAGAGAAACACAGAGAGAAATAGCGTCAGAGACATGAAGACTGAGAGCGACAAAGCGAGGCAGAGAGAGAGAGAGAGAGAGAGAGAGCAAGACATAAAGAC